CATGTTCTACTGGATGAGACGTGCTGGCAGTACCAGCGTTACTCCAGCATCCTCCTGCTCTCTCCTGGACGGCCTCCTTCCCACTAAGCCCCGTAAAGCCCAAGTTAAACACCTCGGCTGTGAAAGGTCGCTCCAGGGTCACAGGAAATTGAGAATATGTTCACTTGCAACACATCATCATTCACACGCGGTGTTTTCTGTCCACGCCGGCGCTCTGGGCGTCTCGGCGGAGGCTAACTGAGGTAGCGGGCGAGTGTTTAGGCAGAGCGTTAAAAGCTTAGACGGACACAGCAGAGGAATGTCCAGATAAGGCGCCTGTGCTTATACAATGAAGCAGGGCCGAGCCGCCGCCACACCAAGGCCATAATTATCTAACTTACACACATGACGGCGTTAACGGGCTAAGCTCGGCCAAATCTGCCCATCCAGGCCTGCAGAGGAAACCCGATCCGGCGGGTCAGGACCTGTAATGGAGCGGATGAGGTCAGCTCAAATCAGAGGCGCCTCAGACCGCCGTGACCTCAGAGAGTCTGTCCAGAGTGAATCAGCTGTGAATCAGAGCGGCTCTATCTGCAGCAGCAGCAGCAGCACTCCCACCACCGTCCTCATCTCAACACGCTGTGCAGTAACAACAGTAACACTGGAGGAAGCAAACAGCAGCCTGCAGCAGGTCCACACACATCTCCAGCTGCTGCCGTCAACAAAACAGCTGCTAGAACACATACAAGAGCAAACAGACCTGCTGCTGCTCCACGTTACATACAGCTCGCTGCGGCGCTGGAAATGGAAATACGCTTCATCCAGGAAGGTCCTGTCAGTGTCTGTCTGTGGATGGATCCATGGTTCTACTAGAACCCAGTCTCTGGTCACATCTCACCACCTGTTGAGGCTCTAACATCAGCAGAACCTGATGTGGTGAAGCTGGACCAGACAAGGTTCTGGTTTAGACGTTTAGACTAAATGCTGATGTGGATCATTGGGAGGAACCAGAACCTGGAGTTCACGGTTTGGTCGCCGTCTCACCGACTCATGAGTGATGTCAGAGCCTCGGCAGGAGGTGAACCACGGATCCATCCATAGACAGACACTGACAGGAACTTTGTGGATCAGCACCAGCCTGCTTGGACATTCTGGATGAATTATTAGAACGTGTCCTCTGCTGGATCCATTCAGTCGTTCTGATCCGATGAAGCTTGGGGGTTTATTTCTGGACATACTGGGGCATTAACATGGCTTCAGAACTAAGATGGTGAAATACTACAGTTCTCAGAGTTCAGTCAAAATATCTGACAGAACCTAGTTTTGGTTCTCAGATAATGAAACCAGAGAAGCTGCAGCGACACCACTAACTGGGTCAACAGGTGCTGACCCGGTAAACTTTGGGTTTTGCATCTAAACATGAGCTTTATTTCGTGTTATGAGTCATCATGCTGCTAATCGACCCAATCAAAGCCTGAACCTTAACCTCCCACTGGCCGGCCCGGCCCACACAGGACGGGGAGCTGCTGGATCAGAGCTCCTCAAACGGCCGCTGTAGGTTCTGGGAGTGTTCGCAGCGTGGACACAAGACAGCGCCGCTCTCTGACAGGACCAAGCTGTTCCTATCTGCTCTCATTATGACTGAACAGACCCAGAAGTCTGAGCTCAGCGGTTCTGTGGACGGACAGAGGGGGGTTAACACCAGCTAGGTTCTGTCTCTGGGTCCGGCGCTGTTGGAGCCCTCGGGCAGCCCGACCACATGCCATTCACGCTCATTATCTTGGACTGCATGTTTGCTTCAGCTAAGATGGTGCATTATATCACTAATACCCGCGCAGGAATTCTTTGCTGTGATTATGGGTACATTTGTGATGTAATATCGGGCCGCTGGCAGCGCCGACAAAACCATAATCACACAGAAAAATGCCACCGACAGACTTCATGTGTTTTCAGACAAACGTATATGTGCTGAATGGACAGATTACAGTTTGTTCTTTCCTCTGACCTGCAGCTCCTCCAGGTCCGGTTTCATCACATCCAGGTCCGGTTTCATCACATCCAGGTCCGGTTTCATCACATCTCACTGCAGCCTGCATGGAGGCACCAGCAGCTGACCCTCCGAATGACGAGTCACACAGAGGGGAGCCATTTTAAAGGCTCAGTATCTCCAGAAATCAAACTCCAACAGCCGTGAAGCGCGGTGAAGACACAGACAGAACCGTTTCTATCAGAACAGAACAATGGAATGGATCCAATAGACGACCCAGTTTTAATTATCGGTTCTTGAAAATGGAGAAAAGTGCAATTTTTTAAATTGACGCTGGTGAGCCGCCGTGTCCACGTCGGTCTTTACGGGAACATTCAGATCTGTTGTTACCCTCCAGCATGAAGCTGCTTGAAGCTCTGCACATCCAGAACCAACATATAGAACCTGTGAACTCCAGGTTCTGGTTCCTGCCAATGATCCACATCAACATTTGGTCTAAACGTCTAAAACCAGAACCTGGTCTGGTCCAACTTCACCACATCAGGTTCTACTGATGTTAGAGCCTCATGTGACCAGAGACTGGATTCTAGTAGAACCATGGATCCAGAAGCGAGCGACCCTTCAGTTTATGAGGCTCGACAGTTTGTTTTCCAGCATTTTGCACAATCTGTGACTGTTGTTATGAAAGACTGTGACTGTGCTGGATTACAGCTTCAGGTTGTTTTTCTGCAGGATTTACATACATCACATTACATGCAGTCTGTTCTTTACAGTAATCCATCCACCACTGGGCCAAACATGAAACATCTCGTTGTACTCTCCCTGGGTTTCTCTGATCCTGGAGCTCCGATATGTTTAGCAGTGCAGCGATGGTTTATGGAAATGCTTCTTGTGCTGTATGATGAAACCGGCACAGCCACACTTTCAGAACTTTAAAACGTCTGTCCAGGCTGTAAACATGCAGACAGGTAAATATCTGCGCTGTGTGGAGCCTCCGTTTGCTCCAGCGTCGGGAACATCTGTGGACGGTTTAGTGATGGAAGCTGCCAACGTTTGGATGGTTGACAGAATAACGTTGCATCAATTTAACATCGAGTGGAATTTAAAAATCAGATTAAAAGTGATTGTCGAGGTAAGTTCCTGTAACTCAGTGCAGTTTAGGCTGAACATGACTTCATTACTCAAAGCGATGTGTGCAGACTGTTGGTGCTGTGCTGACAGCAGACTCCACTCTGTGGAGCCTTTCTGCTGAGTGTCTCTATGTTTGCTCTCAGAGAGCCACAGCTGGCACAAAACTCAACTTCAAAGCTCTCACATGCAAATTAGCAAAGATTTGCTCCAACAACTTCCAAACATCTTCTGTCTTTCCTCTCATTCATCCTCTCAGTGTCTTTTTGAGCAGCTGCCATGTGGTGCTCCTCCGCTAGGCGGCAGCATTGAGCCGCTGCCTGAGCGTCGGAGGTCAGCCGGAGAGGAGAGACTTGCTCTGAGCTGAATGAGGTAAATATGGAGCTGGGAGGGATGAGGAGGAGACGTGGGGCTGTGAGATGAGAAGGAAATTCTTTTATATCCATGAAAAAGACACAAACGTGTAGATTAAAGCACAGAAAACCGACTAATGACAGAGAGGACCAGCTAAATATGACCCAATAGAAGAAGAGAACTCATGAGAACGTGCTGCCGCCGCCGGGTCAGGGTCTCCAGGCTGTTACGTAACATCCCTGATCACAGTCAGAGGACCTGATTGAAGCCAGTCTGTGGAGTGGAGCTGGACCAGCAGCTCTGAATCTCATTGATCTGACTGTGTTCCAGAGAATCAGGAGGGAGAAGCCGAGGTGAGGAGCTGACTCAGTGACCTCCAGGGACACTTCAGCTTGAATCACTTTCATTCAGAAGAAATTAGAGAACAGCGATGAGGGGAAACTGGGTGGGCGAGGAGGTGACACGATGCTGAGTTTATGTGGATTTATGAAGAGAAACAGAAAGAAACAAGAAGACAACAAGCACAGCTACACAGCTAGCAACAGGCAACAGCTGGCAAAAGAAAATGAAGAAAGAAAGAAAGAAGACTTTCCTCCTTAACTTAAGAATGAAAAGAGGTGCTTGGAAAAATCTGATCGGAAAAAGAGCTAAAAAAAAAAAAAAAAAAATGAATGAAGAAGGGGGAAAAGAGGCTGAATGAGCCAGACTCTCTGCTGGAGTGCTCATGGGCAAACCAGCAGTCCCCCAGAATCAAAGATGGATAATTGGCTAAAGCAGTCCAGCTGGCTGTGGGACCAGTATGTTCATTCTTTAGACTTATTCTGGATGCAGCTGATGAACGTTTGGGTCCAGAGCAGAAAGCAGAAAGACAATAAGCACCAGAGTCGGTGCGTAAAAGCGCTTCACCTCCAGGCAACAGCGCGTAAAAGCACCTTGACTCTGTGCGTAAAAGCGCGACTCCAAGTGAACCAGGGTGGCTTTTACTATTTCTTTTCTTATTTGATTTTTTTTTTTTTTTTTTTTTTTTACCGACCTTGTGATTGATTTCGAGTCTGCTGCTCGTAGCACAAACGCCGTTACATCGGTTCTGCTGCGTTTCAGTCTGCAGGTGACTGGATCAGGAGCGCGCACGTCCCGCACGGACACAGAAAAGTAGCTGCGCCCCCGTTTCTCCCTCACTGGCGCCCTGCCAGCTCCAGCACGCTCCGAGCCTCCTCTCCTCTTGCGCCGCTTGCCGCTCACTTTACACCACCCCTCCTCCAGAGAGGGAGGAGAGAGGTGGAGCAGAGGGGAGGGAAGAGGGGAGGGGAGTCTCTGAGCCGGCGAGGAGTGAGGTGGGGTGGGGTTGGAGGGGGGCGACGGGAGCCCTTGGCCGCCTATTCGCCTTCCAGTTGCCTCCGCACTATATAAACACTCATTGGTGCCTCTGGCTGGACGCGCACACTCTTTACGCACGCACGCACACACACACACACACACAGAGTGAGGGAGTTTCGGCAGCCAGAGAGAGAGAGAGAGAGAGAGAGAGAGAGAGAGAGAGAGAGAGAGAGAGGAGCGCAGAAACAGAAAGGTACACAGAGAGAAGAGTGGACGACAGAAAGTAAGAGAAGGAGAAGGAGGACGGTGGCTCCTGAGCATCTCCTGCGCTGCTCCACTCTGCGCTCTGGATCTTAAACACTCCACATCCCTCGAGTTTGCTCAGAGATATTAAAACTTTTCACTTTTCTCTCACTTTGCTGTTTTTGGAGTTGACAGACACAGACGCGATTCCTGGAAGAGTTTTCCTTCATTTTACCCCCTAAAGTCTTTCCATCCCTCCAGAAGTTTTTTTTTTCTTTTTCTGAGGAGTGCAGCTCCTTGTCAGCTCCAGAGCTCCGCTTCACTTTTTCCACGTGTCCCTGCGTTTGACAGAAACGTGTCACTCTGAGGTTTTTCGTGCCTTCAACTTTTGTTTTTCAAAAGTCACTGAACCAAAAACAGAGGCTAAAGATGAGATTTCAAACATCAGGACAGTCCCCAGCCCAGCGTGACTCTCGTGCTGAGTGTTCAAATCATTAAAACTGAGCGAGTTTTGATGGTTTCGCTGTGAAGCTGAGCGACACTGAAGAGACGCGGAGTCTGGACGCGCAGCTCACCTGTAGCATCTCCTCCGCTCATCATCCGTCTGAGGCGCCGCTTTGATTCTGAGACAGATGCAAACTATCTGAGAGGGACAACTCCACACGGTTCATTCATTCCCAGAACACAGCCGCCTCTTGTCACGTCGGGCTGCGTAAAGGAGCGCTGCGCCTTTACGCAAAAGAAACAAACTTTAAATCCAGCTGATAAACCTCTCTGGGGATCCGCATCTGCGCATTTCGTCACAAATCAAAAGCTTAAATTCGACTTTCAGCAGTTTTTTGAAAGTCCTCCAGAGCTCCAGAGGACCGCCGGGCTCTCCATCACCATGCTGTTCGACAGTTTCGATCTGGTCTCGGCTCTGGCCACTCTGGCCGCCTGCCTGGTGTCCATGGCGCTGCTGCTCGCCGTCTCCCAGCAGCTGTGGCAGCTCCGATGGACGGCCACGAGGGATAAAAACTGCAAGCTGCCCATGCCCAAAGGATCCATGGGCTTCCCGTTCATCGGCGAGACCTGCCACTGGCTCCTGCAGGTAAGCGCGCCTCGGGGCGGGGAGGGGACGGAGGCTCCGCCGGGGCTCCGCATCCCGAGCGGTGCGGTGAAATGTCCTTTCTGTACTCGACTCTTGTAGACTTTCCAGACTTTTGCGGTTATTGGTCGTGATTTTACACTTTTCTCTTCCGTGTCAGAGCTCCTGTGAGTTGCTCTGCAGCAGGACTCTGACACCAGGGGGAAGGTTTTACCTCCAGTGATGCACCTTTTGTCCGGTTTGTGCCAAAACTCTGTAAAACGCGCTGCGGTTGTTGCTCCGCTCACAGACTGAATCTTTAGCGACTTTTATGAATCCTCTGAAGCAGTTCGGTCTCCTCCTGAAGTCCTATCTCAGCCCGAGGAGTCGCATCGTGCCCTACACTGTGTGTCTGGGGTTAGCCGGACGCAGAGGCTCCAGTCCGCGCTCAGAGCATCAAAGCCTTTCTCTCGGCTTGTGATTAGTTTACAGCCTCAGTCTGTCTCCACCGGAGATCACATCAGCTTTTCAGTCTCGGTGTCTCAGGCGGGAGCTGCAGCGGCTGATAAAGTCTATCGATCAGAGTCTGAGCAGCAGCTCCAGGTCTGATGGGGCACAAGTGGCGGGAGCGTGTTTGGGGATCATTTGGGGAGGTTCTGTTGGAGTTCTGCGCGTGAAAAGGGTTAAAGTGGATCCACGCTGCTGCTCCCTCCTCCTGGCCGCATCCACACAGCTCCCCTCAGTCAGGACACTGGTCCTCCGGCAGGTTGACTGACGGCACGGTGCGCTCTGGAGGATCAGTCAGGGTCCAGCCGCTCAACAGAACCCCCAGTCCCGGTTCAGATCGAGTTTAAAGCTGCCAACAGCATTTAGAGGGTTGATTTATCATCAGCTTCACACTGTGTGTTTAAAGCTACATTCAAGTTTAGGGAACTTGGCATCAAAGTCCAGTGAGCTGCTGGGTCTGGAGCTGCTGGGACCAGCTCAGATACACCAGAGTGCAGAAGAACCGCTGGTTCCTGTAGTTAGCTGGTTGAAAATAATTTTATTAGAGGTCATCTGAATTTAGAAAGATTGATGCAAACTGTTGTTTTTAAGCTCAAACATTCATTTTTCAGACTTGAACAAAATCCTAAAAAGTCCCTGAAACGTCCTCAACATGATAAAAGTCGTTTGAAAATGTTTGGACCTGGAGTCAAAGTTCTGCATTCGTTCATTTAAAACCAAGTCGACGGCGAGGGAGCTTGATGTGGAGGCCTGATGACTTTGCTTCAGTCCTCTCTCCCACCTGCACAGTAAGAAAACAGCTTCTGGATCAACCAGAAGAGGTTCTGCTCCAGCAGAACCTCAGACTGCACCGAGTTAAACTCAGTCCAGGATGAATAAAAATAGTGCAGAAGGCCTGAACATGAACCTCCCTACGCTCTGAAAACCTTTTTCAGCCCGAACATGACGAGCTGCAGAGAAGGTCCTGCCTGGTGTGGATCTCACTGATCACCTCTGTGACTCGAATGAAATCAGTGTCGCACTGAAACAAATGGAAATATGAAGGAGAGGAGGAAGCTGAGCGAGTGCAGGAGGCAGAAAGAGGCAGCAGAGGGGAGACCAGGGGAGGCATATACTACACTTATGAGGACCGGGGGGAGACCGGGGGGGAGACCGGGGGGGAGGCTCGGCGAGCGGAGGCACGTTGGCCGCGTGCGGGGCTTGAACTCACGGTGCTCCTCTCGGTTACATCCCGGAATGCAACCGAGGACGCCGGCCAAGTTTATGGCGAGGGGGGGCGGGGCACGTCAGTCAGACTGAATAAAGGCCGCGGGTGTCTATACTTATGAGGACCAGAGCTGAAGTGAGACGCATCATAAACCTGAAGGAGAGGCTGAATCCTCGTCAGATGATCACGGAGACGACAAGTCAGAGGCACAGAGAAAGTCTCAGCAGAGGCAGAAGTGACCGAGACGTCCAGAAAGGAGGCGGCTGGTGTGAGATTTTGACACCAAATGGTCTCATTCAGGAGAACCTTTACAGCAGCACATGGACAGACCTCTGCTTAAAGCTCAGATCCAGTCGTTTCCTCTCTGTAGCTACTAAACCAACGTCCACGGCTCGGTCTGACCAGCGGGGGCGCCACGCCACCAGAACTCTCACATCGGATGGTCTGAAAATGTTCCGTTTATTTTTTGACTATTCTGTGTTTTTATTAATTTATTGTAATATTTAATGCGACACTAACAGGGTTTATGGCCACAAGGGGGCAGCAGAGAGCAGCACTGACATATCCTCATTAATACTGTTAATCAGCAGCAGCGTCACTCATCTGGAGGCGTGTTCTCGGCCACCTGCCAAACGCAGTTTTCACAGTTTTTGCTCCATGTTTGGTCTCCACCAGGTCCACACGTTACCGATAGTCGCTAACTGGGTCTGGTGATGGATTTAAACTTGTTTTTTTGCAGCAGAGTTTTGGCCTGAACCTCACTATAAAGTATCTCAGATCAAGATCAAGACGTTTTTGAAACATTTCATGAACGTGTGAATGCACATGTATGTTCTCGACAGTTCTCATACACGCTTTAGCCAAACGTAGCTCATTCTGTGACAAGTTGTGCACCGTTTTGTTACTACCGTGTTGCCTTTAGCTGCCCGACCACCGTCCTACCTACGACCCAATGTCTCTTTGGGACATCAGAGTACATCTTATTCTATTTTTTTCGGCGAGGGCCTGGAGTCGTGGCCTGATCCGCTGAACAACGAGCTCAGACGGGACAGCAGAGTGTTCATATACGTGAACAGGAGGCGGTTTGTAGGAAAATGTCCGGAGGCAACAGTAGGTGCATCAGATTTCTTTGGCTGCAAACCAACAGGTACCAGGCGGTCCACTTCTCTTCTCCCTGAACGTCTTCTACATGAACGGCGCTCTACGTATGCGTCCGTATATTTTTACCTCGACACACGCAGCAGCCGCACTGTTCTGTGACGGATCCATTTTAAAGCGATCTGCAGTTAGAAGCAGTTTCACGGCGGCTCTGCCAAAGAGCTGTCTGCTCCCATTAGGAGCTCCGGCTCTGTGGAGGGCCGGTGCCAAGCCGGAGTGCTACTGAGCGCGCTCACACGTGCACAGAATCACTACCTACACGCTGCAGATTTTTGTATATTGCGACGTACACGTGCGCGCTTCAGAGATACATACGCAGACACACAAACACAAAATACAGAAAGCTCCTGAGCAGAGGAGTCACATACATGTTCTAACAAACCATCTGCGGCTAAAGCTGCCGTTTTTATAGAAAGAAACTGAAAACGTTTGCATCTAAGACGCCACAAAACGTGACATTTCTTGCAAACTTTTCTCGCTTAAATCCAGGTTGAAGCTTTGACAACCGCTTTCTGTTCATTGATATTTGATCCGACACAGTTCTCAGAAACATCAGAGGTAAAAACATGAAGATGTTCAAAGTACACGCTGAGGATTTATCGTGTTTCGCTTTAGCTTCTTAAAGAACTAGCACGGCCAGCTTCTGCTCATGAACTCTGTCAACTCTGGAAGACTGTGACCTGCTGCCGCCACTGGGGGTCGCCGGCGGGCTCACAAATCAAATTTAACGTTAAGATGTCATTTTAAAAATGTGAGAACGTGAGCGCGCGACGCTAGCATCGTGTTCGTTCTGGTGTTTCTGGGGAATGAACCCAGAATCCGTCGAGGCTGACGGATCGAAGCGTTCGACACTCGAGACGTTCGCTGAAGCTGCTTCACAGAGAACCAAGAAGACATCTCACACACACACACACACACACACACACACACACACACACACACACACACAGAAATACACAACCATGCAGACAGACTGGACTGAATCTGGGTCAGATCAGAGGAAATGAACACATGGCACAGACTGTACAGTGTGTTTGTGCGACTAAAGTTTGTGAATGAGCCAGAGAGAGAAAACACACACACACACACACACACACACACACACACACACACACACACACACAGCGTTGCATCCCCGGTCAGCGTGCCAGCCGCCCGTCCGTCCGTTGTGCGGTGCTGAAGTGTAAATGACGGAGGGCAGAGGAACAACAATCCTGCAGACCAACACTCGGCCGTCACACCGGGCGCTGACAGCTCGCTGCTTCTTCTGCTGCTTCTACACCTGCTGCTGCTGCCGGAGCAGCAACAGGCTGCAGCAGAGGATCAGCGACAGGTTTCTGTTGCAGGGCCGTGACTGTTCGGTGCCTTTAGGTCACGTTGTTGGCCTCTAAGCTGGAGCTCCTGCCCTCTGATTGAACACACTGTTTATAACGAGTTTGTCAGAAGTAGCGTCACAGCTGATTGGCTGTACGTGTCTGACTCAACATGCAGGGCAAGGCATCGGACACTTTAGTGGTTGGGACGACGTGATCGGACCTCAGAGGTCAGGACGGGGTGAGACAGTTATCTTTGTTTATAGCAGCTATCATAGCTACGGATGCTCATTTAGAATAGTTTCTAATATTTGGCAACGCTATCAATCAATTAGGGATCAATCATTAACTCAAGCTGAGCACAGAGTCGGATCTGTTCCACGTGCAGGAACTCGGAGGTCCTGAACCTCCTCAGAGTCTCTGTCATGGTCCCATTGCTGCTAAACTCCCACAATGCTCTCTGCTGCCACCAGGAAGTGACGCCTCCTCTGGTCTCTACAGGACCAAACAGGAAGAGGCTCCACCTGGTGGAACAACCAGGTACTACAGCTGGTCTGTGGTACATTTACTGACATCATGTAGAGAAGGTGGCACAGTTGGTAGCACTGTGGCCTCGTAGCTAGAAGGTTGCTGGTTTGCGTCTTTCTGCGTGGAGTCTCCATGTTCTCCCCGTGCAGCGTGGGTTCTCTCCGGGTTCTCCGGCTTCCTCCCACAGTCCAGAAACATGCTGAGGTTAATTGGTGATTGTAAATTGTCCGTAGGTGTGAATGTGAGTGTGCTTGGTTGTCTGTCTCTAAGTGTAGCCCTGTGATAGACTGGTTACCTGTCCAGGTGAACCT